CTAAAACCTCAGACCTCCAGGTGTCAGGAGACTTCAGCTCCAGACCTGAACCCCCAGACCTCCAGGAGTCAAGAGACTTCAGCTCCAGACCTGAACCCTCAGACCTCCAGGAGTCAGGAGACTTCAGCTCCAGACCTGAACCCCCAGACCTCCAGGAGTCAGGAGACTTCACGTTTTGTTCCTCGGAGGTTCGACCGTTCGGCTCCACAGCTTGTTGAAATGAAGCAGGACAAACCGCAGACACACGGTGGTCTTTATTTGTTCAACTACATGGACCAGGTTACAGATCAGGGTGGTCTGGTGGTCCAAGCTTGTCTTCTGGGCATCTGTCTGGACTTTTGATGAAATATTATTAAACGTATAAAAATAAATAATGTAAAAGTCTTGGCAGCCTTCAGATCAGGTCTGACCTGCCAGGTGGGCCTGAGGAGAAATACCTGCTCAGGTAACGCTGACATCACTTCCTGTCCAGTCTCTTGGAGTCTCCGTTAAAGCTGCAGCAGCTGATCACCTCATCAATCATTCTGATCAGAAGTCATGAAACTTCACAACATGTCAGATTCTGCTTCATGTCACGTAGAACTGGATCATCTGGACCCGTCAGAACCACCTGGATCCACGTGAACTTTGGTGGATCAACTAAAAATATGTCCAACAGGAAATGAGGCGTTCGGTGTCCCTGCGTGGCGTTTGGACCGAACCAGCTTGTTTACGTCCACCATGGTCCATCAGAACAGGACCACCTTCAGAACCACGGATCATGCTGGAACTTGGACAGACCCGTCGGTCACCTCGCTGGTCAGAGCAGTGCATGATGGGAAGCGGTCTACACGTTGTAGGAGTAGTCCATCAGGTAGTCCTTCAGTCTGTTGGGGATGGGCAGGTTCTGGACCTGCTGGGTGGTCCGGTTGATGGCGATGCGGCAGAGGTGCTGCAGCGCCGGCGTGGTGGTGTACACAGGGTGGGTGAGGAGCAGCTGCACCGTGCCGTTGGGCCCTGCGGTTGTGGGCGGGGCCTTGTCTCTGATTCTGGACAGCTGGACGTAGTGCTCCACCAGGTGCACCACACTGTCAAACTGCCTCAGTCTGGGCTTGACCAGAACCACCGAGTCCAGCTTGAACTTGCCATGTTTGTACTCGATGCGCAGGTTGGTGGGGCCGGCGGAGGTCATGGCAGAGATGGTGAACAGGTAGTCCCTCTGGGAGCTGTCCCGCAGCAGGAAGGTGCCCTCCGAGGCGTCCTGCAGGATCTCTTTGGCCTCGTTGGCGGTCACACTGCCCCAGTACCAACCTGACGGCACAAAGACCAGAACCCGGTCAGAGTTTCACATCGAGGAGCAGCCGGAGATGTTTTTACTCCTCATCTGGAGTAAAAACTGAACATCTGGAGACCGACAGGACCAGGTCCCACTGAACATCTGGAGACTGACAGGACCAGGTCCCACTGAACATCTGGAGACCGACAGGACCAGGTCCCACTGAACATCTGGAGACCGACAGGAGCCAGGTCCCACTGAACATCTGGAGACCGACAGGA